ACTTTTCGTAAGGTAACTGAGTCAAAAGCGGGACACTGTGTGTGCGTCAATGTGCGCGTTGGGACTGGTGTGGGTCAGATGCGCTGTTTTTCAGCACCGTGCGCTTCGTACTCTTGTGGCCTGCAGTCTGAGGTGTGCTGATATGAGATTTTCTCCAATAAAATCCTACAGGCACTGCATCTGAGGCAGACCTGCAAAACCAACATGACAATAGCCACATTCTATGAATGTTTAGTCATTGTCATTTAAAAAAAAAGTGACGTGTAAAAATTGATATGACAGATTTTTTTTAACCCTGTCAGTCTAAACGACGGACGGCAAAAAAGCCTAGCGCAACCTCTGCTGTACACATACAATGCTAACTATGCTACACGCACACACAAGGAGCATGATGCAGGTGTGCAGCACTGCGTGTGTGAGGGGAGAGTTGTTTTTGTTTTTGAATTAAAATTAGCAGAGCTAAATGCAGCAGAAGCTAATCGGACCGCTAACGGTTTCCAAAGTTAGCAACACAATAATCTGCTAAATGAAAAATTAGCTCTGCTATTAGCTGTAAGCAGATTAGGAGAACTTTGCCCACCACTGTACATTAGATAGCTTATATACACTCTGATATTAATATTTTAACTATATTACCAATAGCTTTTACAATTATTTACATAATCAGTCTTTATTGTTCACTACTTTACCAACATGTACAGTAATGTTAAATCCAGGTATCTGCCTGRTCTGGTTTTGGCCACTGCTGCTGCAGTAGATCACAGTCACGTAGTCATGACTCTCTCCTGCTGTTCCTTAGCCCTCCATGACACAGAGTCAGGAAAAAAGTGAAAATATTGATTTTTGCATTAAATGACTCCATAAAGACACTATCTAGTGATGGCAGTGATAAAAATAGCATTTAATCTTCTTTATCTTCCTTTGAATYAAAGGTTTCTAACAGACATGTTTTCAGAAATAATCCTTTGTTTTATAGCCTTATAGTAAGGGCCCAGGGGATTATTATTTTTTATTTATCTTTTATTTTTTGCAGACATTTCAGATGACAACATTTTTCATTTCAGTCAATTTAAGCGTGCAATATTTACACAAAAAAAGCTATTTGTGTTTCTGTTAACTGGAGAYAGTGTTTATTACATTCTGGTGGCCCAAACATCAGATAACATACAGAGTACATCATTATGTTTCTTCTCCAGCTCCGTGTCTTACAGTGTAAACCAGCAGCACCCTGGTCAGATCCTGGTCCAGGCTCAGGTCACTCCCATGGTCCTGGAGCTGTCCACCAAGCTGCTGGTGCTGCGGCCCACCCCCAACACACTGGCTGCATCTGGATACAGGAGCTCAGTGAGCCTTCGCAACCAGTGCAACTGTGCAGTGGGCTTCACCTGGCAGCCAGTCGCCACAGAGACCGACTTCCTGTTCTCCATCAGGCCAGCCACAGGTGCTGCAGATATGACTCAGCTTGAATTCTCCCTCTCCATCTGGTTCTGACCTGATTAGCTTTATTGGCAGTGGCACTTGTTTAATGAACAGATTTGCATGATTGGGTTTCTGCTGATGATACACAAGATTTACATTTTGTTCTTACAGGAACAGTGGAGGCATACATGGAGCTGGACTGTGAGGTGGTGTGGTTTCCCTCTTTCTCCTCCCCTTCAGAGGGAGACTTTGACCTCATTGTCCACGAGGGCAACACTCAGCGCTTGCACTGTGTTGTCAAGGTTTGTACCYCAAGGCTGAAAGAATTATTAGGCTTTGGTTTGATTTCCCCAAATTAATGGAAACTAACACTGACTGATAGCTGCTAACGGTTTAAAAAGTTAGCAAAAACACTAAATTTAAACACTTCAAAACATTTGTGAAATCTACCACTAACTGATTGATAACTGTTAACTTTCAGTAGCTAATAATTTAAAACTTAGCAAAACTTTTGCTATTAGCTGTCACTGAGAGACAGTCATATTAGCTTTTAGCTGTTAGTGTTAACTTTTTCTAATTTTTACTTGTTTAACTGTTTAATGTTAAATGCCTTTAAATTTTTATTTTTTACATGTTCAATGGTTTAGCAAAGCTATATTTTTCGTTAGCTGAGTAAGAATTAGCTAATGTTGTGTTTCACTGTGCCCAACACTTGTTGAGTTCATAAACAATAAGAATATTTAAGTTAAGYATTTTGATTCAGACTAAAAGACATGCTCATACAGTTGTGATGAGAGGTTTACACCAGTTGAGCCAAYCCATTCTCACTCCCGACTCGTCAACATATTGATGCTCAGTCAGGTACCGTCTGCGTCCAGTTTTGGACGCGTCGGGTGCCCCCCTCGTGTCAGTTATTAACGAGATGAGACAGAGGAGGAGGATTGTCATATTTTTGAAAGAGAAATKCACGACAACTAACCGTCACAGACCCTAAATTTAACTTCTATTAACCCTAGACATCCTATCCCCAACCGCAGTACGTAAAATTAACCATTAACCCTGATCCCTCMTGTTAACTACAGACCCCCAACCCAAAGACCCCTATGTGGCGCAGCCCGGAAAAGCCACAGGCGTGAATAACTGACATGAGGGTATTACCTGACACATCAAAATTGGATGCAGACGGTACCTGACTGAGCACCAATATGTTGACGAGTCGGGAGTGAGAACGTGTCGGTTGAGTACCAATACCACATGAATTTTAGGCTTTTAACCAGTGGTGGGCACAGTTCTGCTTATTTGCTAACAAATAATAGAGAAGCTAACTTTCTGTTTAGCAGGTTAGCTTCTTCGCTACCTTTGGAAACTGAACGTGGGCCAATTAGCTCCTGCTAAATTTAGTTCTGCTAYCTTAAAGTCTATTGAAGTGCTAATGAAAACAAAAGAACTCTCCCCTCACACATGGAGTGCTGCACGCCTGCTCCTGTGCCTTGTATGTGAGTGTAACATCGTTAGCATTTTGTGTGTCTACCTACAMAAAAGCGCACACTCCCTGTCCTGTCCACTGCTCGCTAAGTCCAAAATGAGCCAGCTGGGACTGAGTTTTGAATTTAATCCATTTTGTTAAAGAGTAACTTACACCAAAATTAACTTTTTTAGCTGATAAACTGTCTAGAATGTGTCTAAAATGTTATATAGTGCTGTTTCTGTGCTAATTTTGATGTTTTTGTGCGTATTTGTTCAAATCTGTAATATTTGGTCTAAAAA